GGAGGGCAGGGAGGCTCAAAAGAGAGGTGATATGGTATAATTAGGGTTGATTCGTGTTGTACAGCAGAAACCAACACAACACTGCAAAGCAATTTTCCCCCAATTGAAAAATAAGTTTAAAAAAATAAAAATATAGAGTGAACTGCTTATCTTCTAAAAAAAATAAAACTTAGAGGGGGAAAGGAAAAAGCTGCTGTTAATGAATTTAGGTTTGGCTGCTTGCCACTCAAAAAGTCAATACTCCAAGACAAGTATTGGTAGGAATGGAAAGGTTGCTTTGTTCAGGAAGTGGCAACCTGGGGAGAAGTCAGACTCATGTCCAAGAACCAATTCCAGAGATTCTACTGGGCCATCAAAGTTTTAAAAGCAGTAACAGGGAGGAAATCTCAGTTAATCATTGAGATAGAGGGTCAGAGTCATCACCATCCCCCACTGTGTGCAGGCTTGTTTGCTGACTTGTTGACTTCTTGTGATCTTTCTTTAGATTCTGTCTTATTCACCCAGCTTGTTTGGGAAATTACTGAAGGGGAAGCTTGGGAGAAGATCTGGCCATTGTTAGTTACGTATGCTCCATTTCTACTTCTTTGATCTAAAGAATTTAATCTACAGGTTAGGCAAGGTATTGTATGATCAAAAGATGAGAAAGTTGTGCTTGGCTGGAGACGAGTAGCACATGGGGATCCTGGTTTAAAAGTGAGGCACAGTATAGCTTTGGTGAAGTGACAGGACCCAGGGATCTCCTGCAGGGAGCTGCTGCCTGCAGTGAGCTGCCTGAAAAAAGCTGCTTATACTGCCAAGTCTCCAGGTATCACAAAACATCACTTCCTTCACATATTATTGTTCATCAAGGTAAGTCACAAAACCAGTTCAAATTTAAGGGGAGGGAAAATAAACTCTACCTTGGAATAAGTGGCAGAATCACATGGCCAATGATCATTCTTGGAAATGGCCATCTTTGGGGAAAAAAAATCTTATCTCAGCATTTCATAAAGAGAAAAGGTAGATTTCTGACATGGGAAGTGATGCTATATGACCAGTAGAGGGGAACCTGCTAATGTGAAGAGTGGAAGGAAAGAGGCCCCTGGATTGACTGTCAGGCTTGCCTACTGCCGGATTGACTCTTTACGATGGCTAGGATGACTGTATGTCCAGATATATTAACACAGTGAAAATAAAACAAGAGTTCTCCTTTCCCTCTCAAAGTATCCAACTTTGGTTAATGCATTTTAAGTCCTCATTAAGTATAGTTCAATGGTATACATGTTGCACCTTGAGATTCCATCATGCCATAATAAAAAGCATTTTGACTAACCTCTGGCATTTTTGCCCCACAGTCGACACTTTGTTACAAGAATGTATCTGAAGAAGGGAGATTAGAAAAGTTCACCATCTCAGGGACTTCTGTCCCTGATATAGTTTGTAGCTATGGAAACTGTTAGCAAGAGGATGCTATTGAGTGAGACTGTTTGTTGGAGCTGCCCAGGGACTAACTTCATCCAAGAGAGAGAATCAGAAAGAAATAGGCAGAGGGCAGAGGTATCCCTAAGACAGGAAAGACTCAATATCTGTCTCCCTGTCACTGAAAATCAGGGGATGTACCAAACCTCACATACTCTTAAAGTACAAGTTCCACTAGTGATTGCAAAAATGTATCTAAATGGGCATTTTACTTAAAGGAAAACACATATAAAACAAAATAATGGCACCAGCAACAAAAACAGGAAAGTCATTATACTTAAGGCTCAAAGAAATCAAAGTGAAGCAATCTTAAGACAGTGATTTATGCTATTACATATGTCCTTTTTTGCTTGCCAGAACATTAACATCTAAGTATTTGATATGACATATGTAACTAGTCAAGCTTCCCCAGTGGTTCAAGTGGTAAAGAATCTGCCTGCCAATGCAGGAGATGGGGGTTCCATCTCTGGGTCAGGAAGTTCCCCTGGAAAAGGAAATGGCAATCCCCTCTAGTACTCTTGCCTAAGAAATCCCATGGACAGAGGAGCCTGGTGCACTGTAGTCCATGAAGTTGCAAAAGAGTTTAGATGACTTAGCTACTAACCAACAAAATGTCATCAGTCAATGTAAAGCAATAATGAAGTGCCCCAACTTCTGAAGTCAGACAAAGTGGGTTCAAATCCAGCTTTGTTTCTGACTAGTTATATAACTTTAGGCAAATTACTTTCTCTCTATGTCACAGTTTTCTCATCTGATTAAATAATAATATCTACTTTCTAGGGATTTTGTGAGACTAAGAAATTAATAGAAATAAGGCCCTTATAATAATAACAGTTGCAGAATAAACATTTAAAAAATATTAGCTATTATTTTATTGCTATTGGCATTGGAAACTGATACAAACCTTTTAAAATGTGAAGCAGCAACACCATAAAAATGTTCTCCACTTTGTCCCAGAGAACACACTTCTAAAAATTCACCTTGTGAAATAACCCAACAGAAGGAAAAAGATCTATACTCAAGGGAGGATTACTTCCTTGTCATAGCAATTGCTTTACTTTCCAACATTAGTTAGAATGTTTGAAGTACTTAGGTTTATTTATATTTTTCTCCTAAATGTTACAGGTTAGAACTGGGGATGTGGACTTTGATTGGGGAAATCCTAAACGCACACCCATCAGTGACGAGTTAAATGTATTATTGTGATACATCCATAAAGCACATACTGTGTAGTTATTAAAAAGAATGAGAAAAAACAAAGCTAAAGATCTTTCTTTCTAGTATCAGTCTTCAATAAAATGAACCAAGGCTCTTTGGAAAAGTGATTGAGTCTAAGGCATACATGAAATGGACCTAGAATGTCTTATTCTTCCAGAAATCAAGACAGAGCTAACAATAACAGCACACAACAGTGACAAGAACAACTCCCCGCCCCATACAGAAACACATAATGCTGAGAATCTATCAAAGGGACCAACAGAAAGAACTTTCAATGGCTGAAGCTGGAATAATTTGAACGACAAAATAAAATAAGCACTTATGAATCCATTCAGATAGGAAGAAATAATTGAGTAAATACATAGGAGAGAGTAGATAAATCTTTCTTGTATTAGAATTGCAAATGATTTATGTAGATACTCTGCCTTCAAAAAGGTGACATGGATCTCTCACTTCTTCAGTGTGGTCAGCACACCGTGACTTTCTTCCAAGAAATTGCTGCATGGAATGGGAAAAAGAAGAGTAACTTTACAGCCGAGAATGCTGACAAAAAGGTGCCCTATCCAGGGGATCAAGGTCAACATCAGCAGTCGTGTCATGCTGATAACGTGTATCCTTGATGTGCTGTGGTGAAAATGGCTTTTCACCTTATGGACTTCTCTCAATCCCAGTCTCATCATGTGGAAAACAGTTGGGACAAATTCTAGTTGAGAAGCACTCGGCACAGCAGCTGGCCAGTCTTCCCTGAAGGAGATCACCAAAACCTGGGGAAGTCTGAGACAGTGTCTTAGGCAAGAGGAGCCTAAGGGGGCACGATGCCTAAATGGAATAAAAGTGTCTTGGATGAGATTCTGGCTAAGAATTAAGGAAGACATTAGGGGAAATCTAAGGAAGGCTGAATAAAATATACACTTTTGATAATATTGGGTTGGCTAAAAGTTCATTCCAGTTTTTCCAATAAGCCCAAACAAATGAACCCAAACAAACTCTTTGGCCAACCCAATATCAATCAATCAATATTGGTTCCTTAATAATAACACATCTGCTGTCTGAACATAGTGGAAACTGGGGTGGGGATCCATGGGGACTCTCTTAATTATCTTAGTAAAAGAGCTCTTAATTATCTTGGTAATTTGTCTATATGTACGTGAAAGTGTTAAAATAATAAATAATTTATCTTTAAAAAGCTTTTTAGAAACAAAACAAGACTTGTTTTCTTTTTGTTCATCCTCTCTACCTGTAAGAATAGGAGAGTATGTGCTAAGTTGCTTCCATCGTGTCCGACTCTTTGTGACCCCATGGACTGTAGCCCACTGGCTTCTTCTGTCCATGGGATTCTCCAGACAAGAATACTGGAGTGGGTTGCCCTGCCCTCCTCCAGGGGATCTTCCCAACCCAGAGACTGAAACAGCATCTCCTGCAACTCCTGAATTGCAGGCTGATTTTTTTTTTTTTTTAAACCACTGAGCCACCGGGAAAGGAGAGTGCAGAGAATATCAGAAAAGAAGGGAGAAGGACAGAGCACATAGCATGTTTCTAAGGCAGAGACAACAGGCGGGGGGTGCAGAGAAGCCATAAATTGACTGAGAGATTAAAGTTTTCATTTTGATTGAAATAGAATTTTTTAATACCTAATGATGCAATTGTCAATACCTGAACACAATCAGAAAAAACTATGGGGCATTTCTGAGGTGTTATTCAGGAAAGAAAGGATAATCCAAAAGAGTGAATTTTAAAGCTATTTTATGAAACAAATACTGTTGTTTTTAGATACAAATCCCCAGCTATTTCAATAAACTGGTTCCACAAATATTTGGAATATTATTGGAATAATATTGGATAAATACATACATCCACACACATATCGGTATTTCAGTTAATTGTGCTGAGTCTTTCATGCTGTTTGTATATCCCACCCATCTTGCAATTATCACTAGTATGTGTTTGCATTCATTTATTTGCTGAGGGCTTTGTCTGGAAACTGGAAGGTGGCTCAGATGGTAAAGATTTTGCCAGCAATACAGGAGAGGCAGGTTCAATCCCTGGGTCAAGAAGATCCTCTGGAGAAGAGAATGGCTACCCACTCCAGTATTCTTGCCTGGAGAATTCCACGGACAGAGGAGCCTGGTGGGCTACAGTCCATGGGGACGCAACAGGTCAGATACAACTTAGTGATTTTCACTTGTATGGAAACTGTAAAGACTTTATAGAGGTTTTGTTTGAGGTGAGGGATGGAAGAAGACAGATGGTTGGATGGGATGACAAAGGATCGCTTCTTTATGGAGTTCTGTGGACTGTGATCTCATATGGAAGGAAAGGGAAGGCTTAGGAGATTCTGAAATTCTAGGGAGAGGTGTCCTTCCAGCTGATGGGGCTGCCCATGGCCCAGGTGTAAAGTTATCACAGAGCTGGGAAGAAGACCGTGTTACCCAGCTCCGCAGGGAATCAGGGAGTTTAGCAAGTTGAAGACTGGCAGCTCCACAAGCATCCATTGGTAGCTGCCATGGCTCACAACAAAAGTGTTCTCACAGTGGCCTTGTTCTGAGAGGTGGCGGTGAGGCTGCCTTTTCCTGGTAGGATTCGGACATCGGGAGTAGAGAGTAGAAGCTGGAGGGGGAGGGAGAATGGCTGCAGTTGATAAAGTCCCTTTTCTAGAGTCTCAGGAGTCATTGATGGCATCTTTGAGAGGGGCTGACTTCTTACTGAGGCAGGTAGCATCTTGGAATCAGGGTAATTTTGGTCTAAAAATAAATATGACCTCATTCAGAGCAAAAAAAGTAGCAAGGCTAGCTGGAGATGCACATATATTTAATTCGATCCTTAGAGGTAAGAGGCACACTATTATTGTTATATCTATTTTTCAGATAAAGAAAATGAGGTTTAGGTAGTTCAGATGAAGGTCACACAGCTCATAAAGTAGTAAAAGAGAGCTTCAATCTTAGTGGCTTATTCTCTGTATTATAGATGTATAACCCAATATAAATGGTAATTAATCTCTGGTTAGGAGAAATTGTACATTAAACACTGATAGCAAAATGTACAGTAAACTGCCAAGCTCATCATGTGTTATGACACGATCATGTGGACTATATTATTCATTTTGGTTTTATAGGGAACTATGGGGGTAGTTGATGTTTTTTCTCATTTTTCCTCAGCTGTCACAGATGAACAAGTCTAAAACATGCCAGATAGGGGACGTGCACCATGCTTCCCATAAGGGCCTTGGCCCATGCCCATTTGAAGAAGAGATGTACTTTATACTCACTATTCTGTTGAAAAGGTTTTTTTCAAAAGAACTTTTCTCTTTGGTTAGATCATCTTCTTTATAGACTGATTGTGCTACTATTAATAACTAGCGCTATCCCCAGTATGAGTCACTGATGGTCTCTCTGGAACCTCTCTAGTTCCAGGTGACATAAATTTTAATTTGCATCCTCTCTGCCCAGCTTCTCCTACACACATGGCAAAATATTGTTTGAGCAGTCTCCTTAAAATTTCGCAGACCTCTGCTTCCCTGAGTTTCTTTCCACCCACTTGAACTGATTTAGGTAAAGCAAACATAAGGGCATGTGCTTTTTTCTAGTGCATATTTTTGTGGTTTCACTTGTCAACTTTGTTAAATATAGGGTACAGATTCTTGGTCCATCTTCAGTCTTTAAAAACGAACTTATAATTTTGTAGCATCTTCTTTTTCCCAACCGGTAGCCATCCATGAGTCAATGTATTTTCTTAACCATTTGATGATTGTGTTTTTTAGCCAATTAGGGAAGTGAGTGGAGAAGGTGTTTAAGAACACTAGGGCTTCCGCAGTAAAAACAAATTGGCAACAGTAGGTGTCAGGTGTTTGGGAAGAGATGCAGTCTGTATAGGCATGCTTGCTAGATTGCTGGCTCCCACAACGCACAGCAGTGGTGTATCCCTTAATGGTTGTTTCAAGTAGGCTGTTCCTTCATTTGATTAATATTCTTTTATTTTAATGCAATTACTGAAGATGGTGAGCCTCACTCATGCCAGCCATTGCCTCTTATAATTTAATTGATTAATTTTAAAAATTGAAGTACAGTTACTGATTTACAATATTGTGTTAGTTTCTGTTCTACAGCAGAGTGATTCAGTTACACATATGTATGCATTCTTTTTAATGTTCTTTTCCATTATGGTATATCACAGGATATTAAATATACTTCCATGTGCCTTCCAGGTCCTTTTTCTTTATCTATTTTATTTATAGTAGTATGTACACATTAATCCCAAACTCCTCATTTATCCCTCCCCCGTGCCTCTAGTAGTTTTTAAGTTGCATCTACTGCCCCATCCTCAATTTGTGTAGATTCAGCATCAGCTGGTTACAAAAGTCATATCCTTAGAATATTCTGGGATCATCTCACTCAAAGAACAATGTGCTTGCACTGATGCCCAATTTAGAATAATTGTAATGGTCCATTTTCCAGGTAATCTGAAGGAAGATAAATTATTGGAAGTAATTATTAAGGGAGGAACAGAACTCCTCTCTATTTCTTTGTAGCCCACAGTTCCTGGAGAATTAATTGTTGCCTGCTGACCTTAAGATGATTTGCAGGATAGAGTATCAATCGATAGCCTGTGAATCTGACAGTAACTTGGGTACTCTGTTTGCTTGCCCTTCGTTGACTTCCAATAGGACTTGGGAGCTAGATCTGAGAGATACCGGCTCTGGGGAAATACCTGAGTGCTTTTCTTTGTGCAGTACAAAACTTGGAGAAAAAGTTCCTAAAACTCTTTAAGGAATATAGAATGTGTCCTTATTTTTGTCCTTCCAGATTTCATATCCTTTCTTCAAAGAGCCAACAAAAGTATATTTTTCTGAAACTGATGGATTTTTCTCAGCTCTCTTTTCTTCAGTCCCGTTCTTTACACCCCAAATAATAACAAGATATGCTACTCTCTGCCCTGTCTAGCTGCTATTCTACACTTATTTCAGACATATTTCTTCCGGAAACCTCACAGTGATGAAGTGAGAGGAGAGATAGTCCAGAATTACCCTTTGATCTAAAGACGAATCCTGTAGATAATATGCAATTAAGACATGTCCTGAACCTGGTCCAGATGCTATATAATAACATAAAATCCCATGTAACAATGAGTGAATTTGGGCTTGCTGAATTGTGAAACTTCTCATCTGCCCCAGAAGTTGAAATTGTGTGAGAGGTGGATTAAATGATTGTGACCTTATTTAATATCTCTCTCTGATTTAACTTTATTCCACAGAAAGGAACAGATTCTGCCTTCTCTGAGTCTGCCAAAATGTTTCAGGCATTTGAGGGGTGGGAGAGAGAAAACAAAAACACTAAAGAGAGAAAATTGGATATTTAACACATTTTTGTTATCTTCTAATATTTGAATATAAAAACAGATCATATAAATATATTCTTTGTAACCTGCACTGGGATATTGTTTCTTGGCAGAAACTAACACCTGAATTTAACCACAGCTGTCATGTGAAGTCTTAAAGTCTTACTCTTCCCCAAATTAACTATATCTCTTAATTAGAGATTGTTAATTTTAAAAAAAGTTTCTAACTATTAAAATTACAAATAAATAAATAAATAAATAAAATTACGTACAGATGCAAGTTTACTACAAGAAGTAGCACAAAGAGAGGAAACTGTATATTTGGCTTATTTCATGTTAAGATAGCTAATATTTGCAGAATGTAGATGATGTGCCAAATGCTAAGTGCTTTACATTGTTTAACTCATGTCACGTTTGCAGGGACCTGCAAACGCAACAACTCCTTGATGCTTTTGAAATTGGAAAGTTGAATCTAGGTCAGCACAGCTAATAAGTAGCCGAGATGGGATTAGAACTCAAGCATGTCATCCCTACCCAGGCCCTTCACGCCTGGGCCTACTTTTCTTGATCACAGCGCTATACTGGTTAATGCTTGTACAGGTCAATTGCTAGGCAGCATAAGCAAGAGCTGGATTCTCCATCCTATGACCCGTTGCTTTCTGCATTCTATCCTCAGGTCCCCAAACACACCAGCATCTGTCTTGCCTTGAGGGTCTTTGTACTTGCAGTGCCTGGTTTGAAATCACTTTTCCTTGCTCTTTATATGGTTGTGATTGGGTCTTTCTTATCCTTATGACCTCGAGTGAGATGTCTCCAACTCTGGGAGACCATTCTTCACCACCCAGCATCAAGTAAGTTTCTTCTCCCCCAACCCACTGGTGTTCCCATTTCACTGGCATTCCCATTCACAGCCTCTTCCTGACATTTGTAGATTTCCACAACTCACATTATGAATGTGTTGTGTGCTTACCTACTTGCCTGTTGATCATCTGCCTCCCCACTAGTCTGATGTTCCCTTCTTAGATGTTGGCTCCATGAATGGAGAGACCGTGTGGCTTTGTTTCAGGGAATCCATAAATTGTGTTAGATGAACTAAGGCAGATGTACAATACAATGTTTCACACCCTGAGTTTAGTAGAGTTGTAGCCATAGCTTGTATGTGTGTGTGTATTGGTAGGGATAGATTACAAAAATAAGGCATGTTTACAGTTCAGTTGTGAGTCCACACTCACGAGTTCGCTGGAAACTTAAAGTTAAGAGGGACATAATCTCTCTGAGAGTTAAGTTTTGCAAGAAAATGGAATGGGTCACAGTCAAGATGGGTAAATCACTTTAAAGAGTGCAGACAGAGGAGACCCGATTGTAAGTTGGTTGATGTTGCAACATTTATAAAAGCTAGAATTGGCTATTGAGTGAATTATGCTCCCTAAAATTCCTATGTCAAAAGCTAGGACCTTGGAGATGGGGCCTTTGAAGAGGTGGATAAGTTAAAGGTAGGCCCTAATCTGATCTGACCGTTGTAAGAAGAGATTTAAACACACAAAGAAACACCAGGAATGCATGTGTACAGAGGAAAGACCACATGAAGAGACAGGGAGAAGGTGGCCATCGGCAAGCCAAGGAGAAAGGCCATTGCAGGAGAAACCAAACCTACCAGCGCCTTGCTATTGGACTTCTAGCCCCCAGAACTGTGACAATTGGGGGATTTTCAGTGATTTATAATTTTTAAGCTTGTTTCAATGTCTGTGGTCAATATAAAATCACATGACATAACTCTTGTCTTACAAGAGTTTATCTGTCAACTACAAGAAACAGAAATGGGAAGAGACAACAGAAAGAAATGCATGGAATCATGAGTTAAGATGGAGCTGATGGTGTTGAGAAAGACAGTTGGTTAAGCATATGGAAGCCAGCAGTAAGCTGTCATGGAGTGAGCCACAGCTCTGTCAGCTACCGGTCATGAAAACTTGAGCACATTAGGGTAGTCTTCAGCTCTGACTTTGCTTATCTATAAAGTGGGCATCATTTCTGTCCCCATTTCTAGAACCAAGTTTGTTTCCGTGTGTAGTGTAGAGTAGCGCCTTGAACTTATAAGCGTTGACCCGTTTCACCATTTCTCTCATTGCATATCACCCATTGCTATCTTTTTACATAAAATGTTTACCAAGAGTGTGAGCCTTACAACAGAAAGGAGAGTACATTGTGCCGAAGGTCAGATGGTTCTTTCTGTTCTCTTGGAATT